GAGAAAATGAAAAAATGGAAACAAAGTCTTTGTAGATAGGGAGGGATGGAGGGGTTGAAGGGAGGGCAGGGGAAGGGGGAAAAATAAGGACCAAGAGAGATTATGTAAAGGTGCAAATTTCCAATGATGAGTGTCATTATATTGTGTACCTAAAATGTACCGATAAAATAAAATTAAAAAAAAAAAAGAAAAGTGCAGAGTAATATGCCACCACCTAGCCCCAGTGTAAAACAAAAATATCTTGGACTCTAGGCGCTATTAAATGTTATTTTAATAGTAGAGTAAAAACACCACAAAACTCTCTAATAAACCAGGCATGGCAGTGCACACCTGTAATCCCAACACTCTGGGAGGCTGAGGCAGGAGGATGGCAAGTTTGAGCCTAGTCTACAGAACTTAGTGAGATCCTGTCTCAAAATAAAAAATAAAAAAAGGGCTGCAGATACAGCTTAGTGTGAAGGCCCTGAGTTCAATCCCTAGCACTGTAAAAACAGAAATCCACTCCCTTCATTTTAACCATCTCAGGTCACTGGCTGAGGTTCTAGCCCGTTTCCTAAACCGCCTTCACCTTGTGTGGAGTTGTTAGGCCCCCACGTGGCCCTGCACACAGCCAAAGCTGCCCCCGGAAGGCAGCCCAGGACACCCCAGGACGTAGGTACCTTGGGTCCATGCCCTGCATGACAATCTCATCCTGCTTGCACTCTATCATGTCGTTGGTAAACATGGCGTGGAAGTACGGGATGGATGCCGCTAGGACGATCCGGTGAGCGCTGAACTTGTGGTCCCCGATCTGTGGGCAAAGTGAGACATACAGGCAGATGCTGAGGATTTCAAACACAAAGACCCTGTCTGCGCCTTCCGCTGATCGCCCCTCTGCCACTGCAGCGACACTAAGGCCTCCCTCCCTGCGCAACACCAAAGCTCAGATTCAACAGGCCAGTTACAGCGGAACGGCGGAAACAGTGCATTTTATCAAGGTGTTAAATGGTTAAAAACGGAAGCCGGGATGCATGCTTGCGTGGTAGTTTCTACTCAGAAGGCAGCCTCCAAGGCCGCCTTCTCCACTCTTCCACCCACCCCAATACTGACTCCTTCAACACTCGACCCCAAATCTGGCTGGATCAGAAGCAGAGGGACGGACAGACAAACTGTCCAGGACACTGGTGCTAACAGTATGTTCTGTGAGAAAGTAAATACAGTGACAGGAAGCAACAAGGAGAATTGAGGCCAGACTAGAGAGCTTGTGTGTGTGTGTGGTAGTGACTAACGGCACAGCTGGCACCATGGGCTCCAAAGTTGGGGGTGGCAGGGCTGTGGTACACACCAGGAGCTCAGAGCTCCTCCAGGAAAGGAGTGGCTGGTGCTGTGGACAGGCTAGTGCTCTGCATGCCCAAAGGGACAGAGCCCAGCTGCTCCCCGAGCCTGACCCTTGCTCCCAGACTCGAACCTGAGGAATTCCATGAAGTGCTTTCCAACTGTCTGCCTGAAAGCTATTTCCTTCAAGAAGCGTCTCCATTTACAGCTCCAAGCTACATAAACATTTCACTTAGGAACCTTCTGTTGTCCACAAGAAAGAACTCTTCCCCCGGCCTTTCCTTGGGTTCCATATCATCAAAATGCCAGGGCAATTCAGGCCCAACCCGCATGTGTCTGCGTCACATTTACCCAAGGCGTCTGACTTGGGACCTGTTCCTCTGTCTTTTCACTGAACTCCAGTTTATAAACTGCAAACAATCCTTCCGGGACACACACTCAATCTTTTTTTGTTTTGTTTTGGTAATGGGGATCGAACTCAGGACCTTGTGCTTGGGAGGCAGGTGGTGGGACCACTGAGCTACATCCCTGGCCCAACACACACACAATCTTCCAAATGCCGAAGGCTCCTCATCAGGTGAGGCTCTTGCTATATTCAGCTTGTTCTTTCGTCCTGTGCTATCTCTAAGTCTGCCCCCCACACCTCTTTGGTCCTCTTCTCCGTTCTCTTGGGTCACTGCAGTAGGGGAAGCTGGACGGCACATCCTGAGGAGAGGGCCACAGGAAGAGGGCCCTCCATCCATCTTGCCTTCAGGGGACTGCAGCCCTGGGGACCCCTGCACTGAAACTGCAGCACAGGCCTCTAAGCCACTTCTGGATTTCTGACCCTCAGAAACTGGGAGGTGGCCAGGTATGGTGATGTACACCTGTAACCCCAGGATCCAGGAAGCTGAAAGGATCCCTGAGTTCGAGGCCAGCCTGGACTACATAGCAGGACTCTCTCAAACAACAACAACAATACAGAAACTGTGAGGTAATAAATACTGGCTGGTTTTTTTTTGTGTTTTTTTTTTGGTACCAAGGATCGAACTCGGGTCCTTGCACTTGCACAGCAGGTGGTGAAGCCACTGAGCTAAATCCCCGGTCCCAATACTGGCTGTTTTAAGTCACTAAGTTTGGGGAGATTTGTTGTGCAGGAAATGATAATTATGACATTACTAACTTAACTCCTGTTATGGAAGATTAGGTTTGGTTCTGATACCTTTTTCATATACCACCCCACAGTCCTCCCATCTTTCTAATATAATTAGGTCAAACTCTGGTTGACCCAACAGAGTTGCATTACTAGAGCTGGGCGTGGTGGTGCACGCCTGTAATCCCAGCACTTGGGAGGCTGAGGCAGAAGCACCTAAACTGGAGGCCAGCCTGGACTATATAGTGAGACCTTGTCTCAAAAACACCAAAAAAAGAAAAAGAAAAATACAAAACAGAGCAAGAGTCACACTACTAGATTGAATATTACGTGTAGCCAAGCCATAGTGTACGCTATACCATGATGCATTTCCTTTTTTGTGTAGTTTTTACTTTCTCTGGAATGTGAAACTCCTTTTAATTGACTCAGTCAGGTACCACACCAGAGCTCTCTCCTCCTAGGGACTTTTAGTCATCCTACATGGGAACCCCCGTTTCCTGGGTCCCCTTCAGTCCTCTTCCTTTATTCTCTCTAGGGTGTGTCTTCTTGGCAGCAGGTATATGCACATGTGTCCGAAACATATTTACCCTCAAACTCCTCCCAGCCAGTTAAACTTTAAGTTGGGTAAATTTTTTTTTGTTAAAATTCTTAAAGTAGCCTTTTAGCTTAAGACTTTTGAGAAATCTAATGACATTCTGAATACCAAGCCTAAGAGACTGTTTTCTCTAGAGTTTAGTGGTTTTTTTCTGGAAAAATCTTTGCATACTTCTTTGGTAATTTTCATCCTTCTAAAGTACCTGTTTTCTCTTTCTAAACTTCTACTAATACCGATGAACCTCTTGGAATAATCTACTGTTCTTAGCTTTTCTATTTTCCATCTTTTTATTTGGTCTATCACCTAGAAACTTTTTAAACCGTACCTTTTAATCTTTCTGTGTTGTAGGGGTTTTTTTGGGGGGGGGCTATCATATTTTTAACTTCCAAGAGGTCTTTGTCTGTAGGTTTGGTTTTGTTTTAGAATTTTGTTCATTTAGGTCTGGGGATTTAGTTCAATGTTTCTGCCGCCTGCCTCGCAAGTGCAAGGTCCCGAGTTCGATCCCCAGTACCAAAAAAGAAATAATAATAATTTTGTTCTCAAGAATATGAGATTTTCTTTGATCTCTCTTGGTATATTACATAATTAAATGTTTCTTCTTCCTTGATTTTACTGTTTCCTTTGAGTCATTTCCTCTTCTATTTGTTTTATCCTTTTTTTTTTTTTTTTGGTACTGGGGATTGAACTGAGGACCTCATGCTTGCCAGGCAGGCACTGTGCTGCTGAAGTAAATCCCCAGCCCTTGATTTATCTTTTCTTAATGTCACAGTGTTCCTTTCAATGTATGGTGACGTCTGCTTATCTGTTCATACCTTTTAAGCTTTTGGAAAGCTCTACAAGACTACACTTGTCAATTTTTGGACTTCTCATCAGGGTGATCAGGCAAGAATCTGGCATTTTATCGAGGACCCCTAGAAGTCGTCACTATCTGCAGGATTTTCCTCTGGGGTGATTTTATCAGGGTGGCACCTTTCGATCTTTTGCATGGGGGCACCTCTGCAGACATTCTGGAAACTGGGTAAGAAAGAGAGAATGTGCTGCTATTCACTAATAAAACTAGATCTGAAAGCCTTTTCAGCTTTGCTCTATATTCCCTTTCTTCCAAATGTGATATGCCTGCGTGTGGAGCCCATGCTTCAGTATCTAAGCTCCAACTCCTCTCTCCTGAGATGGTAGGAGAGGGGCTATCTATGGTAAGGAAGAGCTTTCACGTGGACTCCTGACTAATCTTCCTGAGTGGCTGCAGGGTTCTGCAGTACAAATCCTCTTCCCCCTTCATTACTCCCTTGGCAGGCGCTTTCAGTTCCTCTGACCCACTAGGTCTGGACACACACCTCTGGGTTCAACATTCAATTGATTTCTCACTTGCTGATAGCGTTTTCCTCCCTTACTATCATTTCAGTAGAGTGACTGGAGGGATTAAAGGTTAAAGTGTATGTTCAATTTGCTGTGTTTAACTGTTGGGCTTTGTTTTTCCTTTTTCTTTCTTTTGGTACCGGGGAATGAACTCCGGACCTTGCCCGTCGCAGTGCCACTGAGCTAAATCCCTTGCTGGGCTTTGTTTTTTGACCTAGAAAATCAGCAGAGGACAAAAGCACAAGCTGAATATTGTCCTGGTTTCCCCCTGAAGAAACTCAGCTAAGTAGAACATAGCCCTATCCTGGGATGCGCTAGCCAGATGACACCTGTGTTCTGTGTCTGGCTAAGGGGAACAAGAAATTTGACCTTGTTTAGATGGGGGAGACCAAGGTGGGAAAGGGTCTGAAGCTGGATCTTAGGAAGAATGGTTGAAGGACAGTCTGGGAAAGGTAAGTAGGTCAGGATGGCTGTGCTCAAACCCTAGATGAGCTATCCCACAGATGAGGGCAGATGCAGAAGGAAAAGGGAAGCAGACTTGAGTTCGTCATAGAAAATAAGAGCTCACCACCTGAGAAAATTTGGGGGGGCCTGGGCTGGTTCTAAAACTAAGTGGCTACTGAAGGGACCTTCTAACTCCATAATCCCATGAGACTACACGGTGTGAAAGGCTTTTGAAATTATAAACTCTCTCATTTGTTTTATTTTTAAAAAAATATTTATAATTGGGCCGGGGATTTAGCTCAGTGGTTTCGCCACCTGCTGCACAAGCACAAGGACCTGAGTTTGATCCCCGGTACCAAAAAAAAAATTATAATTTATTTGTCAACATAATTTATTTTCTATAGTTCAAATTAAATGGAAAAGTCCATGAATCCGTGCTTTTCAAAATAATCAACAGCCATCATCCTTTTATCAATTTCTGGTTTACTCAGGAACTTAGATTGTAATATGATAAAATAAAATCCCAAGGGAAAAAGAATGACTGGAGATGTTTTGATGTTCTAAGAAAAGAAGATCTTACGGTATTTAACAGTAACTTCTGTTATCAAAGTATTATATGTAAATAGTATTAAATTCTTTTTTTGGTACCGGGGATTGAACTCTGGTCCTTGCGCTTGCGCAGCAGGCAGCGAAACCACTGAACTAAATCCCCGGCCCTAATAGTATTAAATTTTAAAAAATAGTATTAAAGGGCCAGGGATTTAGCTCAGTGGTTCCGGCACCTGCCTTGCAAGCACAAGGTCCTGAGTTCAATTCCCGGTACCAAAAAAAAAAAATTGTATTAAAATTTTAAATAATGCTAAGAATTTTTAAAAACAAAAGCAATTTCTGTTCCCTTTGTCATCTTTACTCTCACATCTGTCCCAGAGACAATAATTTGGTTTTTTGG